GTAAGGCTGTCGCAAGTGTTTGCGTACCGAAACTACTCGTATGAAAACAAGTAAACAGGTAGATAGCTCTCGAGGGAGAAATACATATCGATGCCATATTCGAGTTGACACTAGAGGCAGTATTCGCATAAATTCAGACAATCGTTGGACGTAGTCTGATTTATCGAAATTTTTACTGCTCCATGGTGTGAAAAATTCCCCAGGCAGATGCAATGTCATGCTGTATGCTATTACAGCGGCGGAACATTGGATATCTGCCTTTAAGCTCTTTCTGATACTTGAGAGGACGAGCGGTAAGGTTTCGTACCAACTGTTGTTTTTGTGTTCTCGAAGGGCACTTTTAAGTTGGCGATGAAACCGTTCAACTGAACCATTTGATGCTGGGTGGTAGGTGGTAGTGCGTATGCGTTCTGTACCAAGCAGCCGGGTCAGTGAGGAGAATAATTCGGACTCAAATTGTTGCCCTCGATCTGTCGTGGCAGTCAAGGGATAACTGCACAGCGCTATACATTGTTCCACGAAGCGGTGAGCAACTGTCTCCGCCATAATAGACGTGATAGGTATAGCTTCGGGCCATATTGTAAAGCGATCAATGCACGTGAGTATGTGATCATACCTGTGCGATGGTGGCAGTGGTCCCACAATTTCTACATGGAGGTGATCGAAGCGAGCATCAGGCATAGCGAACGTGCCAATGGGGGTAGCTATATGCCTGTGCACTTTTAATCATTGATATTGTAAACATCGCTTTGATCACATACGGATATCTTTATTCATGGATGAACAGGCTCATCGTGCAGCGATGAGGCGTAACGTGGCTGCGATATTTGGATGAGACAGCCCATGCAGGGCATCGAAGACCAGATGACGATAAGCAGAGGATATGATAGGTCGGAGAAGGCCAGTAGAAGTATCACACAGGTCAGTACCTGAACTAGTAGCTAGGGATCTAGAATGTTGTGCTTCTGCGTAAAAGGGATCACTAGCTTGAGCGACAGCCATAGCAGGAAGATCGAGCAACGTGACGTGACATAGCATCGGCAACATAGTTCGACTCGCCTTTGATGTGACGAAGGTCCATCGTGAACTGAGAGATATAGTCCAAATGTTTGCATTCTCGAGGTTAGTAACGGTCAGACTTGGTATGCAGAGTATACGTTAAAGGCTTGTGGTCGGTTAATAAGATGAAATGCCGTCCTTCTACCGCGTGCTGGAAATGTTTGATGGCACAGTAGGATGCTAGCAGCTCTCGACCAAAAGCGCCATATCTCGTCTCTGTGGGAGCAAGGCGTCGTGAGAAAAATTCCAGAGGCTCAAAATATCGGAGATGTTCTGCTGCATAACGGCTCCTGTAGCGAAATCCGATGCATCATCCGCTATACTAAGTGTGGCTGATGGGTCAGGATGAACGAGGAGTGTGACTTGAGCCAGAGCCGTTTTAATCTCTGAAGATAAAGTACGTGCGTCATCGTTCAGTCCCAATTTGCGCGGATTACCGCGAAGTAAGTCGGCCGATGGTCGTAACCGTCCCGCTACGTGTGGGATGAAACGTCGGTACGAGTCAACTAAACCGAGAAATGCATTCAGTTCTTTGAGTGTGGGCGTTACGGTATTACACGATATTGCACAGTTCAAAACAGAATAGATAACTATATAGTCCTTGTTTACGTTGTTATTCAATACATATTTAGGTCATTTATAGACCATACTTGATAGAGCTTGATGTTTAGACAAGTTTATTCTGCAGAAGCATGCAAATACTATTAAATCTTGTTAACGAACCATCAAAGCTACTTGACATAGATGACCGGTTATTGGTATCGATTGAATTAGTATGCCATGAGTACTTATCAGTATAACATTACGACAATATATTTGAGCATTAATCAAAGGACTAATAGAATACTGGATTAAAACAAGTCATTACACGATGGTTAACAGTAATAGGTCGTGTTTCTTTAGTCGGGTTCACCAATGTAGAATTATGGTCTACTACTATATTAGTACTTCTCTGATACTAGACCTAATACTAAAATCGTAGATTTGTCATGATATAATTACCTAATCTATACGATCTTACATGGAAGTCACATCATCGTCTACACCAACTCATTGCATCTTAACGGTCACCAGTATATGGTGAAGAACACACTTAGATTAGAGATAGAACTTTATATTTGATATGGATGAAAATAATGTTACGTAAGACTACGCCTGCAAGGCCGAGTCATGTCATCCGACCAACTCGAATCAATGCCGTTCACTCTTCCCGCCCTCTTTATCGTTGGATTTTTCTCTGTGTTAAATGATGAATGTCTATTTCCCATATTAACTCGCGTTAGGGTCAAACGCCACAAACGTTTTGTGGATGCTACGGTTATTTTTGTGAACATGGTGTAGCGGTAAATAAATCGCCAAAATAAATTGCTCTGTAAGTTTTCGACATTGGATGCTGATCACATTAGTTTTAATGGACTCACCTAGCTGAAGGCGCTCGGTCAATCATCCTCACCAGATCACGAATGGGAACGTCATGCTCAACAACCCCTGCTATCGCTAGACAGATTAGATTAGACGATCCTCGAATTACTGATAGCTTATCAAATATATCTTCGAACCTCTTCGCTTCTGTCTTTTGATTTCACTTGTTGTGTGCGATTCATTTTAGGTGTTTCTGTTTAAAGCACTGTCAAACTCCGAATACCTGTGGCATCTTCAATGGATTCCAAAAGCTTCAGCAATATGCGAAAGACAAACATTCCCAACCGAATCCCTTCTGCATATGGAAGTATTCCAAAGATTCTAAAGTTAACTTGTTCACACCCATGACTTATTGATCAACAGTGCCTGCAACGTTTTGTTACAAGCTTTCAGGAGTTATAAATAAATGCTAAAAAAGCATCAAATTCCGATTTCGGATAGAGATCATGTTCTTTGAGTACTTCTAAGGTTTAGGTCTCTCACGTTCTTGCGAATTATAGAAGTAGATAATCATTTCTTAAGTACGACTGTCAAAACAAGTGGAGTTGTAGAGGCTAGTTTTCTCTATATCTGACTCCAATAAATGATATCCCGTTAACTGAGTATTTAAGGCTAGTTAAATCTCCTAGTAGAGTCATTGATTTACTCGAGATTATTCAAAAGCCTGAACGCCGGTTGTAGAGATATTTTATTGTTAAAGATTAGTAGAATCTGCAAGCGCACAGCAAGCAAACACACAGTGAAACAAAGAGAGTGTGTGTGAGAGTTAAAAATCCACATATACTTATGAGTGTTAATCAAGTGTGGATAAAGTATTGATTATCTGTGTGTTGCAAGCAATGGGATAATAGATTAAGGATTGATGTGCAGACACGCGCTCAATCACGCACACACAGAAATTTACATAGTGAATTAAGTGTTTAAATTACAGTGAGAAGACAAATAATACAATAGTTGAATGTGCTTACTACAGAGTATTTGAGAGGCTATTAAAGTTTATATCAGATCAATTTCGTTTATAATAAAGAAGTAATACGCCCGAACTTGCTGATGAATAGAATGTAGTCATAACATCTTTTTCCTCTTAAATACAGAAATACACCAGAGAGCCCACTTGACAGATTCATCCAGTGACATCAAGTGTTATGGAAGTTTATACTGAGAACCGGATCTTAAAATTTATATAAAAAAAGGCGCTAAACATCACACTTGAGTTGAAATCAGGGTCAAATAGTTATGACGCAAGTTTTTAACAGACCACAAGCAAAGTACCACTTAAATTTGGCCTAAAAAGTATGAAATGTTTATCAAGACTCTTAAGTAGTTTCACAGAACATATGAGTAACTGAATTATGAGATTACTAAGGTGCCCTAAGGACATCATATAATTTTTCTCGGGGTGCTTAAGGTGTACGTTGATTGTTTGAGATATCTCGTAGTTCTGCACGTGAATATATGCCGTCGAAAACCTCTATATGAAGTTTAAACGTAATCAAACTAATCGTTACCCAAGCAAAAGAAAATAATTACTTCCGTCACCAGGTATCAGTAAACTTATAAATCCTAAGTAACCACTGAGCACACAAATTGTCACACCTGTAACTAGCCAGATATTTACATTCCGTGGAATTACACTCCATAACTCCATTGAAATGAGGAACTTCAATCTATTCAAGTATAAAATGTTTGATAGAAGAAAACTATTGTTCCTCTGAATTAAAGCCATTTGAAGTTAAAATTGTAAGGGAGAAAAGCTGTAACGTTGAGTAACGATGTGTGCTGCCGAACATGTTTTTATTCAAATAACCATAATTAATTTTTCCCACTGGTAATTCCTCATTTTTGATCTTTTCTTTGTCATCCCTATTTGTTTAACGGAGCATGTTAGTTCTAATATCAGGTTATGATATCCATCATGTCTCTAGTCATCCTTACAAGGCTTCGGATGTAACAAAACCAATCAGTACCAATATCTGAGTCTCCATTATCGAAATGCTCTTATGGCAATTAAAGAATATGAGAACCGCTGTGTAAAACTACATATCTGGATTGCTACTAGAAGTGTCACAACGTGTAAATTCCAAGCTGGTTAGTCATGGGAGGCAATAATTCGCGTGATACAGTGAAGAGTATTCTGGCGAACATGCTTGACTGAACGAATTTAGCTGATGGTGTATCCAGTCAAACAGCTGGTCAGCATAGATGTTAACTGTTCACGAGCTATATAGTTAAGGAAGTCATTCAGGGTTACCGTACTACCAACCCTACATGCTAGTCTGCCTAATAGCTACGCGTGCCTGCTGGAAGTAATATGACACAAAGGAGCAATATATTTTCCCCATTACTTATCGAATCTCAAAAAGCATTTTCGAATTATCTACAACTCTCACTTCTATCGGTGAAAAATCCCTGAAAGCATTTTCGCTCACCTGAAATAACTGATTTTGAAATATAAAAACAGGCTTAAGGAAGATGTGATAAGTAAGAGGATGAAGTACTACTCACACTACATGTTTGACTTTAGATACTGGGAATTGTGTCATTCAAATCGGGTTACTTCGATTGTGCGCTACGATGCCGCGCGATATTATTACTTTGCAACTAGGACAATGTGGGAATCAGAGTATGTCTTATTTTACAAATATATTGTCTTTTCCTCCCGTCCTGCTACTTAGTTACGAGTTATAAATGCATTTGTTGTCGAAACAACCTGGATTTGCTGTGACTAAAAATTTTATTTCATAAGTGAGGTTTACGCAACACATATATTGAGATATTTTCCACCACAAGTAGCTAATCTATTTTGCCGCAACTTGTCTTTGTTTTATGGACTCTCAATAGCTTCAACTATAATATACTTTTTTCATAGTATACTGAGCAAGTACATATGGTTAACGGCTTGTTAGCGAAGAATCAAAACGGGTTATCTTCTTAACGTCTGTCACGTCCTGAAGTGTCCATATAGTTCCAGTAATTCGTAAGGCCCTTAAAACGGTTTACGTGACTCCAGTTTCTTGATAATGTACTCTAGCATCACTAAACATCTTGTATTACTTCTGATTCCTTCCAAAACATGGATCGAGGATATCCAATCATTAGAACATCTATGAGAATAATAGTCACTGTAAGACTCATATCTAACATCGTCGTTTAGGTTTTCGAATAAATGTATGCCCAGTAATTCGCAAAGGTATAATCATGTGAAACAGAAAAAGAAATAAGACTGAAGGTATCCTTAAACGCTTCTACATTCATATAAATAGCGTCTCTTTAAATGCCTTTTACTGCGCTCAAACGTCTTTTGTTCCAATCTGTATTAAGTTAGTGGTCTTACAATCCCGCCGTATACCCTGGTAATATATATTTCACTTCAGATTGTTTTAAAATCACTCCTCCCTACCCGGAAAAGCTTGATCAAGCTATCAAACAATACTACGCCAGGTTTCTGATTTCAACCAAATAATTGGACAGACGAAACTACTGTCCGATCGGGCGAATATGTTTTCAACAAGTAAGAGTCATTCATATACCTGGTGTCTAATCAAGGCATCATGATGACACTCAGTAGTTAGCTATTTTGAAGATGCATTGACCATATTGCAAGCTGTAAGACTAGTAATTTTATTCGTATCGGCTTTTAAGTGGAATATTTTGTTAAACTATCCATGTTTCTGATGTCCGGATAGTATGACTCAAAATTTCACTAGATGCACCCAACTAGGTCTATTTTTCTCGTCTATTCGCACGACATTATGCCGAGCTGACACTTCAGAACGTCTCTACCTCCCTAGTTCATAAACTCTACGTTTCACTTAGTTTTCGGGAGTTACAAAGCTTACTACATCAATCGCAACGCAATAAGTAATGACTTACCCTTATACTACAATCAGTGCTAAGGAAGAATAAGTCCACCTATCTGATATGGGGTGACTTTAACTTAACAGATTCGTCCGCCGTTAATTATAGCTTCTAAACTGGACCACTGGAATACCCAAGCTCTTTAGTACAAGGTCATTCAATCGTCTGTAAAAATCTTATGGTTACGTTTGGTATTATACACTACTTGCTTCATAAATTATTGGATTCGCGTTACTGAAGTGATACTCAAAAATACTAAGTTAGGTTTCAAAGTCAGTTGATCCTAACAATCAATGATTTAGTTAGGAACATGTGTTGCTCTGAATAAAATCTAAATTCAGTCCTTTAGTTTTTTATCTGAACCGTAAAGAATTCTCAGATATTTTCAGCTGCAACAAATAAAAATAAACTGCCCAAAATAATTGCTTTAGGAGTGGTATCTGAGGCTTTTAAATGGAATAAGTACCAGAAGGTACGGCGTATCAGCAGTGCGACTTATTTTACCACATACTTCGTTTATAGGCTTTGAAAATGCAAGTAAAAGATAAGAATCAAAACTAACAAATTTCACTTGTTAAGCAAGTGCTAAAACATGTTTGATTAACTGTACTGTATATATTAAAATAAGGAAATGTTCAGAATTATCACCTTACTTACTGAAACTAAAGATATCTGCTTTTGATATAATCTTAGTAGGCATATCTCTTTACGGGGAATATTACAAGCAGTCTGTGACTTTACTATCTTTTACGTAATATTTACCTGTCCATTTTCTCTGTATCGCCAAAATGTTAGTTGGGATGGAGTTTTGGAAGCAGCTGTGCGCTGAACATGGAATCAGTCCTGAAGGTACACTTGAAGAATTCGCAACAAGTGACGCTGATCGCAAAGATGTCTTTTTCTACCAGGTAAGTAAGAAATTTCCACACAATTAGTTTGCATACTTTTCAATCATCCATTGCTTACTTAGTTATTCGGACATTGTTTTAGGTTACATAACTTAAGTCAATTATTTTCTTCATCCTGTGGTTCAATGGTTTCCGCTTTCACCAATTTATTCATAGTTTTAATTCCTGTCATAACTAAATAGTTTCGGCAGGTAAGTGGTATCCCTAGGCGATAAATGTATCTTAATTTTTTACGGTAGCGAGTTTATCTATCAATACCTTACCGATGCAGACACCAAAATGCACCATTTTTGACAACTATTCACTGATACTTCGGGTAAATGTATACTTCTGTTGATCTTCCAGAAGCATCAATTCTACTTCTGAATGATACTTTCACAAGCTCGAGGCTAAAAAGCGTTTCTCGAGTAACAAATTAAAACCTCTAGTGTTATCCACAAAGCACTATGAACAAGAAAGTTAGAGGAAAATTATTATTTTCCTAATCAGATGTTTTAATGAATAGATTTTGTTGTGTAGACAAATTTATCATGGGCACTCCCTCACAGAGCACTTCTAGTAGCATTCTTTCACACATCATTCAACCTGCTTGATGGTAAAACTAATTGACAACTCGGATGCGAGTAGTAAAATCCTTATACTTATAGTGTGATGTTCTTGTTTCTACACACTCTCTGAGAAAATGACTTCAGTTTTTGTTCAATCACAATTTTTGTTTGTCTCAATTCAAGTTTTACCATATTTCCATGAGTTTCCCCTTTTATTGTAAAATATTTCAGCTGGGTACCCAATGGTCTCAGTTTCCTCAGATATCCCACATTGCTGAGCAAACGTATATTGGCTGGTCATGTGTATAACCTTTAGAAGGGGTTGTTAGTTTAGTTATGCCAGCCAGTAACCAAACCATTATCGTTTGGAAGTTGCAAAATGTACCAAAATAACGAATAACTACTTTACGGGGACTACTCAGATATATAATTGACTGTAGTAGGAAAAATGATATGTAATTTTGTGTCTAAGATTTTCCACAGAATTAAACCATTTTCATGTTTCTTATAAAGGCAGATGATGCTCATTATATTCCTCGTGCTGTGTTACTGGACTTAGAACCACGTGTAATCAATACAATATTAACTTCACCTTATGCTCGACTTTACAATCCAGAAAATGTATATTTATCTAAACATGGAGGTGGTGCCGGTAATAATTGGGCAGCTGGATACACACAAGGTGAAAAACTGGAGGAAGAAGTGTTTGATATTATTGATCGTGAAGCCGAAGGAAGTGATAGCTTAGAGGTAATAAAGTTTAATTGGAACTAGTTAACCCTTCACTTCGACCATCAAGCTTTTTATCAGTTATTTGCTCAGTAGTTTTACAAACATTTACTTCTTTCCATATGAATTGAAATACTATTTGTTTATTATTTATTTTAACGCATAAATATTGGCACAAGGGGGCACCAAACATATATGCGCCACACATTAACAATGAGGCCGGTAGCAATTATCATTCATTTGTGTGAGGGCTGTGATACTGCCCGGGTGCCCAAACCGAAGTATGTGGTTTTCTTAGGGGGTCACACCAAGAGCCTTTGACCTAGAGGTTTAATCTGCAAGGCAGTGGAGCAGCGTTAGGAGATGCAGTCCCAAAGTAGCCGGCAACCAACAATGGGTTACTGGAGCCAACATGTACTATCAGTTTGGAATCAGGGTTTTTCAACTCCCCTAGGTGGACACTCTATGTCCACCAACCCGGTTAAAGCGCCGGACCTTCGTTCTTCGTCCTCCTAATTTTGTAAACAACACCCCTGCCACGAGAAGGCAGCGAGTAGGACTTCCTTGGCGATGGTTGTATACGTGTAACTATATGAGAGCACTTCTAGAGGGAGAGCTGACTCTCCCCCTCCTCGACCGTACCAGGGCATTTTATTGTGACATGCAGCGTTAACTACACTTACCAAGGGTTTCTGAAAGCACTTTATATTGATTGCTTATTTATTACCCTACATAAATACCTGTCATCAGCCTCCTCTAGCTGCTACCGTGCTGCACATGTAGTGGACGAATAAATTAGGTGGGGAAGACGAACTTATTATTTGATGCAAAATTACAGTGCTTTCGTAAAATATGAAACCATACCTTAAATACATAATTTGCACATCTTCCATCAGTTGTTCTTTACACGCTTCATGATTCTTTCAATTCTGTTGTCATTACAATTACTTTCTGTTCTCTTCAATTGAATCCTCTCAATCTTTTGCTGTCATGCATTCCACTTCCGATTAGTGATACATACTACTTATATCTGTCAAAATAGGTAGCATACACCACACGCACAACAATTGTTTACCTGCTTGCATGTTTATCATTGGTTAAAATAAAAGTGTACTGACTAAAGTTTCGTGGCAATCAGATCAAGATCTAGCACTATTTCACAATTTTTCTGATCGTCCATTTAAGCTTCGACATCTATCTGCAATCTGAGAGATACGATGAATCAGTGGTTAGTGACTCTTAAGTGGGATAACTGAAAACCGTTTATAGTAACAGCTTTATTCATCTATTTATCTTTACTTTGTAAACGCATCGTTTTATAACCATTTCATTCTGCTAACTCGTTCTTCCCATAACTCACTTTACCGTTTCTCTTAGATTTTCTCTGTTACAAAGGGTAATACCGAACCTCTTCATTGTCATAAACAGTTTTATGTTATCTTACCCTTTTTGGGAAGTTCACGAACACTTCATCCGTTAAATATCCCCGTTACTAAGAGGTAAATGACTCGAGTTTACTCGTCTGCCTCTCAATATTTCAGCACTCTTAAGCTCAAAAATGTGAGATAATGTTGATTTAAATCCCTATTCCGAAGTTAGTAATTTACAGAACCCTGAATTTATCTACGTAGATCCTAGAAGAGTTGCCAAAAGATAGTTATTATTCACGTAACGAACTGGTCAGAGATTTGTAGATAACTTTATTTGGCGTGATATATAATCACACTGTACGTGAAATCCCAACTCCATAGTCAGATGCTTCAATTATACAACCAGTATTATCGTAAGTAGTTCAATATACTATAGTACAATTATTTTAGACATGTCTCTGGCAACGTAAATTCTTCATTGAAGAAGTACTATCACTATTTTGTATTCCTACATACTTTGTTATTAAGCTTAACATTCTGTTGTGTGTATTAGTTAAGCATTAGGTCTCTTGATGCCACCACATGTATTTATACTTCCAATGGTAACTAAATTGTTAGTTTATATTCTGTATATATTTTGTACTAATGTACTGCCTTTTTCCTAACAAGGGCTTCGTAATGACTCATTCTATCGCTGGAGGAACAGGGTCTGGGATGGGTTCATTTATTCTTGAACGTCTTAATTCACACTTCCCAAAGAAACTTATTCAAACGTATTCAGTATTCCCAAATTTAGAAGAAACTAGTGATGTTGTTGTTCAACCTTATAACAGTTTGTTAACACTAAAACGTCTCACTTTGAGTGCTGATTGTGTGGTGAGTCCTCGTATTGTATATAATACTATTTAATGATTTTTGCGGAATTATTATATATTCCGTACCTTTCTCTCACCGAAGAAATGTACCAGTATCAACCTGGATATTATCTCTAGTACTCCAGCTTTACCGTACGATGGATACATTTAACAACTAGTTTGACTTAATTAACCTAAGTAAAAAGATATTTGAACTAAAAACTATGCAAAGAGAAAATAACACCTAAAGTTCATTTGTATTTAAACTGGAATCACCACTAACCGGTTTATTTGTCTCCACCTTATTATGTAGTATATCTTGTCTTATTGAAATCATTTACATATATCCTTGTATCCAACCACAATGCATTTTATAGTTGCAAAATCTTTTTCCGTAGATAATAACAACTTTGACATAGTAAAAGTAGTAAGTTTCCTTATTTGAATTAATCCCTTAAAAACGATCTACTAAGAGAATATACCATATCATTGAAAATATTGGTTAAATATATTTGAACAGTTACTCTGTTTCTATACTTAAAATATTTCTGTTCCATTTCTATTTTATCTAATATTGAAAATAAAACTCCCATTATTGTCCTCATATAAATTAATTTGAAAGTATTAAATTATTTAAACATGAAATCGTGTAAAAATAAGAATTATTTTAAGACAAATGGAGTTTAGCATTTCTCTTAGTTATATAACCACCAGGTATGTGTACAATAAATTTATGTAGTTGTAAGTGATTATCAGAAATATCTCTAACAAAACTTTATGTGCAGTTCAATTATTGACAAGTACATTCTACTTGTTTAGATGTTGCCAGATTGCTAACGTAAGCGTTGATATGTTATTAGATAATTACTCATTAATATGATATAGATAAATTATTTAGTCATTACATACGTTTCAATACAAGCAACTGACTACTTTGCATTGTTTAAAAAGCATAAATTATTGAGATTAAGAACATGTAGTTCACTGTTGTAGAAATTTATGGTTTCATTTCTTAGTAACGAACTGGTTGGATTATACATACTACTGATTATCTGTGGAGCAAAATAAAACATGATCTAATCATTCCCTGATCTTCAATAATTTCCTGTTAATATAGACTTGTACTAAACATTGTTTGCAATCTTGTTGTACCCTTCGTTTGACAATACATTACGCATTCATTATTTTGTAAAATACTGTCAATTGGCTGATTTCTAAATTTTAAGTAAACTTATTTTCATCTCCTTCAAAAGAATGATAAGTTATTGACGATAATTATATCCCATAATTTCTACCATCAATGTTTCACAAGCTTTCACGACAAAAATCCACTAAAGAATGTTATTAATAATTGAAAAACGCCAACACAATAACGTACGAAAAATACTAATTTTTATCAGTTATTTATTGTTTCATATTGACAAAACGTGAAAACAACCAGTTAATTATTTTGATTTATTGCTAATCATTTATATTATATATGGTTCACTGACAGTGTTCTGTTTACAGTTATCATACAATGTTATCAATCAGTGGGATGTATTAACACCTGTAAACCTGTCTTTTTAAATCTTTGTTTTTTAACAGGTTGTTCTAGATAATACTGCTCTGCATCGTATAGCTACTGATCGTTTGCATATTGAGAATCCATCATTTGCACAAATCAATCAGCTGGTAGGTATCAGTAACATGAAAGTGATCATCTGTATATTTGAATTTTTCGTGTCTGTTTGATGTGAACGATGACACTTGCCTTTGTAGGATCTGTGATCATGTTATAACCATTACAAATTTTTTCGATGAATCCCAGATTGTAATTAAACTGAATTTTATCCAACACCGTTGCAATTTGACAGGGCGGACTTATAAAATCTCTTAATGGTTTGCAAACACTTTGGATTTGATACGCTAGAAGTATGTCTTACTTTTAACAGCTTGTTAAAGGGATCACTTAAGGTAGATCTACGGTCATCCACTCAGATTATTCGATTTGTGTCCATATGTCTGATATGTTAGCTAACAGCTTTACTAGTGGTGAAATTATTTCTTTTACAGCCAGTAAAAACGCATCTTCAACCTGAAAAAAGTTACTTCTCATTTTAGTTGAAGAATATAATAAAAGTGTATCTAAACGTCCAGCCCACTTCATGTAAACTACTTCGGCCGAAACATGGAAAGACTCAATGATTTAAACAGTAACTGAACTGATTACTGGGAGAGTTAAACTAAGTCAACCAGAGAGATATTTGGGTTGACACTTTTGGAAACATTAGCTCTTGATAATAATTGTAGTAGTTGTTGTGACAATGTTTCAATAACTGTTCGTTCACTTCATTTATCATCAAACAAGTCTAACTTGATGATTATCTATTATGGTCTACCAATCAAGTCCTATTGATTAAATTACTTTGTAGCTACTGTTTGAATGAGGTATTTAAAGATGATTGCTTTTTAAATGATCCGGTTTGAATCCAATCACTTGTTGTTCCAGTTATGTATATCTCTATTTGAAGGTCAATTAAGATATAGACGCGACGTTCAAAACTTTTCCTATTCCTCCTCATTATGTGTGTAAAAAGGGGTAGTTTTTGAAAAGAACTGGATAAAAAGTCCTTAGGGCATTGTAGCGATACTGGTGATATAAATTCATTTGTGAAAATGTTTTCTATCCTTATTATTTCATCCTGTATACTGTCTTGAAATTTTGTTACTTGAACCGTTTTGTCCAGCTCTATATTGTTCCAATAAGGTAATTTCCATGTCTCATCATAATTTTTTTTCGTAAGCTAAATTCCATGATACATATTACACAAACTTTTCTTGTTAAAATTATTTCTGAAGAATGAAAGACAATTCAGCAAAGAAAAATTTCTTCTTGATGGTATCATTCATTGAGTCTGTATAATCGTATTTATGGTGATTGAAAAGATGTATTAATCGATTGAAAAAATAGTAAAACCAGTATACCGTGAAGTGTTCGGACATTCCAAGTATCACAAGAAGGCTGTGTAGGAGTTTAAATGCGAGAAATAATTATCCACTTGATAAATATGAAGAACAAATTAGAAATGCGGAGGTAACAACAAGAAAAACTGATTAGTCATTTTTTTCTCCGAACGTAATAAAAGGGTTTTTAAGGTCATGGAGGAATGCGTAGTTGTATGTGTTGTTTTTGCACACAAAGTTCAGACCTGAATTACTCAAGTCTCTGAAATTCACAATTTTTTAATTCGCGCTTCCTTTAATCCAATTCGTTTAACTGTGCAACTTATTTTTAGAAATAATTCCAGTAAGGCTATGTAAACAGAATTAAAGAGATATCCACATATTGAGACATTGATTATCTTACGTTCTCCTTTGAAAGACGTTCCAAGTAATGTTCTGAGATGCGTTTGTAAAGTGTTCACTGAATGCGGCCAATATAGCCTGTCCCACAAATGCAAGTGAAATTAAAGATGTACATTGATGTGACCCAAAGCATAACTTGATTCTCAACACATCCATGAATAATAGGTCGGCTAGAGGAAGACAATACGAAATTTCGAGAAACAGAATTTATCCCAAATATTTTGAAATCCCGTTTTCAATATTCCTGCAACAGTATTTTCCTTAAGTTCAATGTTCATAGGAAGTCTTCTTCGGTACTGTAGACAATTTCTCAAGTTCCAGCTTTCGCTTCCGGGTACTGTCAATAACCATTTTCGACTAGTACTTCATCGAGTTTATTTTTGTGTTATCATAAGTGATCAGTGCTTCTCTTATCTTTCTACTATGAATTAAGGTCTCCAAAGTGATGTCTGCTAGTACGGCTACACTTCGTTATCCAAGCTATATGAATAATGATTTAATTGGCTTAATAGCTCCACTGACTCCAACTCCACGATTGCATTTCTTAATGACTGGTTATACCCCATTAACAACAGATACTGAAGTTCCAACTATTCGACGGACGACTGTATTCGATGTAATGAGACGTTTATTACAGCCAAAAAATATGATGGTCTCCACTCCAACACAGCGCGGTGTCAGTCATTGTTATGTTTCTATACTAAATATAATCCAAGGTAATTTTCTATTTGATTATTATTAGTCCGTTATTTACTTTGGTGATTTTAATAGGACAGGAAAAATAAATGTTTCCCCTGTTTTTCAAATGACCGAAAGTTTGTTCCTACTTGTTTGTAACTTTCATTGTAGCTCTAGTGGATAAGGATCCTCCAATATAGTACGCTTTCTAAAGATTTGTCTTCCTTTATGAGGTTGTGAAACTTGATAGGCAGTAGGGAAAAGCATTAAATAACTATTTTTTCTCACTAAAGGTTTTTATTACGCCATAGTTTAGTTTGTTTGGTAGGCGTCGGACCTGGAGTAGTTCTCCATCTCAAACACACTATAACACATTAACTGGTAAATCCCTGTAGAGTCATGGATGTGTCCCCTGCTGATGGATCTCATAAAATAATGAGGTAGGATTGCAGTCCCCTACTTGGTTTTCAATGGTCTTTCCACATGATATCAGTTTGTTTTTAAAAAGAATACATTTAAACTGGATAAATTACCTAACTAGGTTATAGTAAAATCTTCATTCTGACTTAAATTACAAGTGTTCGAAGTTTAGTGAGCACGTTTTTCGAAAGTTCCAGTCGTGTTCAATAAGATCTTTAAACCATTTATAAATAAAACCCAACTTTAATTGTAGTGTACTATCCAATATTTCTTACTAATTCAATATGAAATAGGGCACAGAAATGCAATACTTTAAAAACTACTTTTGTATTAAATTGAACTACTGTTTCTATTCTATTGTTTCCATCTTTATCTGATAGAAACTTTTGTACGAAATGGGATTCACAACCTCTCTTTTCGGTCAAAATGTTACTTTGTTCAAGTTGTAATGATCAACATATAAACTACAGCTGTAGCTACGTTCTAGGAATTTCTTCAAATATCAATTATTGCTAAAAAAAAAGCCTTTGTTTAGAAGTAATTAATTGTTTGTATGCCCGCTTAGTTCAGTTTTTCCCGCATATTATAATTAGGATGCTGTTTGCTTGTATAATGGTAATTCTTTTGAAGATATTCGACAATTTATTCCACATATTTCTCCATGGGAAGTTCCCAATATCTATTCCAGATTATAAAAAAAGGTTTTGAATAGTTAGCGAATATTCAATTGTGTAGAACTTACCGAGGACTAAGGATTCAATACTTTGATTACATGATCGATTATTACACTATATAAAATCACTTATGAGATCGTTCATTCTCTGCACTCTTCACTCCAATCAACTAATCTTTTTCGCCTGGTCAGTTATTTATTTCTCTGTGATCTGTCACCGAATCTTAATGATCGTATGAATATCTTACAATGAAATTAAAATGTTAAGTTTCAATTAATAGACCTCGTACGTTCACTTAGCTGTCATGCAACAATTTAATTACTCTAAATAACTGTTTGTCCCTTTTAAAATAGCTTATCAAAGTGAATTAAACTTTAGAAAATGCTAAATATATAGTTTTGCAACATGTCGACCCCCCCACACTCAATCCATTTGTTCTTGATCATGATAATATGTTATGTTACTGACAGTCTATGTAATCAGGTCTTGTCTTTGATATTTATGTTGTGCCTCCATCTGATTCGTAGTCATCCTTCTTCCTGACGACATATTTCGCGAATCAGCTTTTAACTACCTTGACTTGTTTTCTTTCAGGAGAAGTCGATCCTACTGAAGTACATAAATCATTACAGAGAATTCGAGAACGCCGTATGGCTCAGTTTATACCTTGGGGTCCAGCTAGCATTCAAGTTGCTCTGTCTAAGCGATCTCCATATGTTCAGACACCACATCGTGTTAGTGGTCTTTTACTTGCAAATCATACAAGCATATCAACTGTAAGTGTTTGCGTGTACTTATCTTTCATTTTGTAGCTCTATATAATCACGTAAAAATGTCTTTATTCCATTAATACTAACGCACAAACTCTTCTGTTATTCTCCCTGATTCTCAACAGTTCTCCTACTTATACAAGACTGTTATTAAAACTAACTTCAGACTAAACATTAAACACCAATTTATATTCTAGAAAGAATCATTTGTTTACTAGTTATTAACTTTGAGGTAGATTTCTAGAGTTCAAGTGTATATTGCCAAAAAAGAAATCTATGTATTCGTTTAGTCTTCATATGTTCCAAATATGGTAGTCATAAATCCTCAATTAAAATAATATCCTCTTTGAACTTGAATAAAACAAGTTTTATATTTAGTCATTAGTCAGACAGAGTCGATTATTGATTTATTGTTTAATTCTCTGGTCCTTCAACTGTTCGAGTGCATGTTTAAACACTGTTTACTTCTATCTGGCCACCAGGGTAGGATCTTAAGCTCTCAAAGTTCATTACAAAATCTGTACTTGATAAATTAGTTACATCAGTCAAATATTAGATGTTCATTCTCTGCTTTCATTGGCAACCAAATAGTTTGCATTTATCCGAAATTCAACATCCCTGTTTATTTGACCAGCACAAAACATAACCTAGACACTAAATACTTGATTCAAATTTCCCAAAAGAATCTATTTTACCATTGATTTTGACTTCAAATGGTTGCCTAATTCACATATAATAGATTATTCAAAATTTTTTCTGTCTGAAATATCAATCCACTAAATACATGTTATAAAAAGTCTACAATACAATAAAATACAATTAACATGTTTAACACTCTACTGGTCATTTTTAGCAAATGGTTCTTTTACAAATTACAAAACTTTATGGAATACACTGTTCTAATATACGAAAAAGCATGTTTAAATGAAGTTGAAAATTCCAAGTATAGAATATTTTCAACAAAAATGTAGACTGTACTAAGTATAACTACCAGTTAAGTGATCCCATTAAACTTCCTTTAGTTTATTTTCCGAAAAAATATATAACATGGTTTACGTCACGCGACTAATCTTAGACACCTGTTGGAAAATAAAAGTACTGAATAACTATTTCGTTCCAATATGAGACTCAGAATTAAACATCCATGACTCCACTGGATATGAAACTCCAAGGCCCTTAGGTCTCGCGAAGAGTGTTCAACCTTTAAATCACTGAACCAGCATCCAATGGTGATTTGGATGTCTAGTTTCGATCACTTCTCGATATCGCACAACCATCTTCCAATGTTATTGGCGAGTTACCGCTTTTATTTGCTTGGTTTGTTTTCATTTTCTATTTATTTAAGTGATCATTTCAATTAAGCAGTCTATTTATCTTCTATCGTTTACAGCTTTTCCTACGTACCTTAGCTCAGTATGATAAATTGCGTACTCGTGGTGCTTTTATTGAACAATTCCGTAAGGAAGATGTATTTCGTGATGATCCAGAATTAAAAGAATTTTCTGACAGTAGACAAGTTGTTCATAATTTAATTGAAGAACATAGTGCAGCAACTCGATCTGATTATATTCATTGGGGTGCTCAACGTGCTGCCGCAGTAGCTGCAACACAAGCAGCGGCCGCGGCAGCCGCCAATTCAAATCCTTGAATTTCTTATTAGATATTTTTCGAACATCAATGTTTTTTTGGTAAAAACTATTCATTTACGAAAACTACATTTCATACTTTTCAAATGTTCGTCTCAACATTTTTTTGTAAGATTGATTTTTTAACAACGTTTAGTTTTTTCATCTGGTTTTTTTTATTAAAAAAGAACACTTCATTCTGAGCATTTGTAAACATATCAGTATATACACAGGTTGTTGTGAAAACATAAATGTCCAAACCTGTTAACAATTCATGAATTAAACTGTTTGATATTTCTACATGCTTTTTCCTTTAAAATAGTAAGCAGCTTCAGTGCTAAGGTTTTTTTCTTCGATACTGTTTGTGGGATCTACAATTGACTGTGTAGTGTCGCGGGGTGAAATCTTGACACTATACTGTTTTTAGTTGATTAACTTTAATATGGTGTAAATGAATGAAGACTAGCTTTGTTAGTGCCCTAAGGTTAGTCGTCTTAGATGTTCATGATCTCTAGAAATGTTTTAAATATCTAAAAATAGGATGAGTAGTTATTTACTGTTGCGTATGCACAATTGTTACAATTCTACTTAATTCCCCCGTCATCAAAAACTATACTGCTGGATTACTATGTTTAGTGCGACAAAACAATCTCAGTTGTTTAATACAAGTAGAAATTCTAACTTTCTCGAAAATATTGGTAATTACTTCTGTGTGATATATCTCATAAATTAAATTATGCTACACATAAGGAACTGTGTTAATTGGATCATCTTATTTGTTTATTCTATATGTTTCTACTGATCACATCAGTGCAAAATGAATTTTCGAGATATGATAGCTTATTGTATATCAGCTAAAATGAATACGAAAAAATAAAGTTGTGGACTTTAAACTGTAAAGAAAACATATGTTCCTTTTAGTTCCTCATATTAGGTTATGTTGTTGCTTCTCTTTAAATCGTTATCATCTTAAATCTGTGGAGGATCCACAGATAGTCGAAAATTCATGTTGATCATAATTAAACTATTGTTTATGATCTGAAAATAAACTTGTAGTGAATAACTTGCCACAAAATACTTGGAGTATTCATGCTATCGATGTATCTATTGGGAAGATACTAAGCATTTGTACCATACATAGATATAAATTAAATCTAGAATGCACCATAACTGTTACTCATTTTATATAAAATAATTGTTAATGGTTTAAAGTTGTTGACCCATACGATTTATCACATCAGAATCATTCTTACAATACACACTTATTTTTATTATTAGTGGGAGACTGATAAAAGCCTAAAGATCTAAATAGGTGGAATTTTTGTGTAATAGCGAGATACCAGAGTGGTAGGAAGAAATATTACGCATAAACTATGATTCAAGATGTAAATTCGTGAAATATAAAATACATAAGTTGACTTTGAAACTCAAGATTTTAGGAATGACAATAAACGAACGCGTTTGTGAAGGTTATGAACTGTATTACTTTATGTTTCTAACAAGTTGCTATGATAATCAAGAGGACCCCAGTCAGGTAGTCTGCACCTACCAACTGAGTTCATCAGTCGATGACTTCATGGGCCTGTATCATGTTCGTCTGCATCACTATATTTCAACATAGTATTTCATAATATAATCTTCTCTTTCCTATTAAATATAATCATATCTGACGACTCTCTCCGTACCTCTTGATATTATGTTATCGATTCGAGGGCTTGATCAATCCTACTTTCATTTCCATTCTTTCCTTTTTGTATATTGCACTATGCTACTTACTAATATTCAGTAACTTATATCACTGTCAATCATTTCTGAACATATCAAATAACATGTACGTCGTTTTCTGGTCATTCAAAATATCTACATGAGTCTGTGACATTTAACCCACTTATTGTTATAATTGTATTCTCTTAACAGTTTTAAAAATTGTCTTTATTCCATATATTTTTATTGAACATATGTTCATTTATAACAGTTTCCATAATATATACGAATATTCGTCAAGATTAGAACGAATAGTTTCCATAATTCCCTTTCGCAGTACTCGTTTCTATTTGTTGATTGCCATCGTTGGTTTGATACATCTCCTGGCTGTTACTTAGTTTACCAAAAATTTCTTGTAAATAATTGTTAGATAACTGCTACGGAAAATACCTCTTATTTGGCTGTACCTTGACGCGTATAAGCGATCTAAATACCTAATGAATCAAGATTTATAAAATCCACTGGTTTTGAACATTATTGATAATAATGGAGTATTGTAAAGAAATCTGGTGTTTTGATTTCGGGATTTAATGCATCGCTCAGTCGCTTGGTTAGAATCCTCAGGCGGATTTAACAAGTTAGCTATGGTGAATGGTCTTCATGATATTACTTCTTCCCAATTTTTGATTATGAAGTAATTACAATTGGCAATGCTATATATTTTACCTCATTAACAAACAACTGTGGTCTTCCTTTTCTTTTAATCTCCATAACAACCACTTGAGTAATCAGTCAGTCAGTCTTAACGTAGAACATCGTACGTACGTACATCAGTTCGAGTTGCCACACCACATTAGCACAGAGATGCAGTGGTCAATTCAAATCCCGTAGTGGTAGAGGTAATAAGATTATAAGCAGTAATCGGAAAGATTAGTGTTTGGAGATGATATTTAAAGAGTATAATACAGTGAAATAAATTTGGGAAGAGAAAAAAAAGAGACAAGAAGGGATAAGGAGATCAAAATTTGGGAGAACACAAAGAGTGGATGCACCTGCGCCATTGCAAACGATTTTGAGCCATGTCATTCAGGGTCTCTAACCATCGGTTGCTATCATCTCGCGGTCCCCAACCAGGTAGTCTACACCTACCGACATGACTCAGACCACTTGTCAGTGACTTCATGGACTTGTGCCATGTTTTGGTCTGGCCGCCCCTAGCTTTCTTCCAATCTACTCCTATACCACTGAACATCGCACGTCGAGGCAGTCGGTCGTTGGGCATACGTAACATGTGTCCCAGCCATCTCAACTGATGAAGTTTCACTACTTCATCAATTGATTTGCCATCCTTACCTAGTACCCGTTTCCTAACAACTGTGTTACTTACTCGATGGTCCCATGATATACGAGCAATGTTTCGAAGACACCTATGATCAAATACTAGTAACCTACGAATATCCTCTACTCTTACCGGCCATGTTTCACTGCCATAAAGTAGGACGGAACGAACTGCTGCGCAGTAAACACGTCCTTTGGTTGATAGACGGATATCTCGCCTACGCCATAAATGACGCAAGTTAGCAAAAGCTAGTCGAGCCTTCTGTATCCGTGCTGAGATTTCGTCACACACCAGACCACAAGGGCTGATGAGACTTCCAAGATAAGTGAAGCGATCGACACGCTCAACTACTTCACTCCATATCATTAGTTCGTATGTCAATGCAAACCAATCCTGAAGCGACATTTTGCATTTCGAGGGGGAGAATCGCATCTCGAACATGCTTGCATTGTTGCTTAGAGTGGACAGAAGACTCTGCATTTTGTCAGCGTCTTCGCCAAATAAAACTATGTCATCAGCATATTCTAAGTCAACAAGTGAACCTCCTGGTAGAAGTTAAACCCCTGTAAATTTAGATGAGGAAAGTGTTATCTCTAAAAGTACGTCGACCACAAAGTTGAACAAGAATGGAGAGAGTGGACAGCCCTGACGAACATCACTTGTTGTAATCAATTCTGATAACAGTTCGCCATAAGCTCTCACTCGACCAGTTTTGTTCGAGTAGAGAGCATGTATAAGGTTAATGTACCTTTTTGGTACTCCTTTCAGTGATAAACACTGTCATAGAACCTTACGATCAACAGAGTCGAATGCCGCCTTAAGGTCGAGAAATACTACCATTGTGGGGCGTCTAAACGTGTGTCTGTGTTCTAGAACCTGACGTAGTGTGAATATCTGATCTATACAACCACGTCCAGGTCGAAAACTAGCCTGATTTTCTCTAGTCTGTTCTTCACGAGCTTTGATTAGGCGTCGAAGTATTATTGAAGCTAATATTTTAGACACTATATTAGTCAAACTGATTCCTCTGTGATTGTCACAAGAGGACTTTTGTCCTTTCTTATAAACTGGCACAATCAGTGATTGAGACCAGTCAGATGGGATTACGTCCAGTTCCCAAATTCTACCTAAGACCTCGGTTAATCTCATTGCTAATACTCGACCACCATCCTTAAAAATCTCAGGAGTAAGCCTGTCAGGGCCTGCTGCTCTCCCTCGTTTCAGATTTCCTATGGCTTTTTCAACTTCGTTAAGAGACGGAGGACCTACATTAACTTGCCATTCAGGTTGACTGGGGATCGTGGGAAACCGAAGTGTGGCTGAAGGCCAGTTGAACTGATCCCTGAAGTGTTCTGCCCATCGATCCAATCTCCTGGATTGGGAATGAATAATATGTCCATCTTTCTCTGAGATTGTTTCGCTAACGGTCGGGTTCCTAATTCCGGTTTCCTTAACGAGTCTGAACAATTGTCTGCTATTACCAATTGCCGCTGCCTTCTCAATCTCTCTTGCTTTCGCTACCCACCACTGTTCACGATCATTGCGTAGACTTCTTGTCAGCTTGCGCTTAAGCTGACTCCGCTCTTCATTATGTTCAGAGCCAGGTGGAATGAGTTTCCGAGCATCTATCAGTGCGATAGATGCTGCTGAAATCCAGTGTTGCTCTCTAACCTTCTGGTTTACCTTACTAGCAGATATCACTGCTGTTTCCACAGCTTTTCGGATATCATTCCATGCTGCCTCGGGGTGGGCATCACATACATGGCTGCCTAACTGTTTTCCTAGTTGTTTCTGAAATATACTCTTAGCTTGACTATCATTGAGTAGGCCCCTAAGAGGTTTCCTTGCAGCGTCTTTCCTACGTGCAGTAGGACGCAGGCAAATACGCGCTCGCACCAGAGCATGATATTAATCTAAGCATGTGGTCCGGAATGACCAACAGTCTTTCAGCGAGCCCCTCCATAGGTGGCTGATAGCGATGTGATCTATTTGGGTCCACCGTTGGGACGAATTAGGGGGTCGCCATATTAAAAGATGTTTTTCCTTATGCTTAAAGTTAGTATTTGCAAGAAAGAGGCAGTTACCTGAGCATAGCTGCAACCGACGGTCGCCATTATCTGTTCTTTGAGTCATGACACTATAAGATCCACCTAGGTGTCTTTCCCTATCGCTTAGTTTACCTACTTGAGCATTAAAGTCACTGGCCACTATTACTACATCATAGCGCCTAGCTTTTCGGAGAAGGTCGGAAAGCTTTCTGTAAAACTCATCTTTTACATCATCTGGGCTGCAGTCA